TAACTGACAAATTGTGTTTTCAAGGGCAGTCTTTCCTGCTAAAAAGTACACCAATAGTTATAAGTGAGCTTATTTCATGGCATTTGATGCTTGCTTCGATATCTTCAAAATAGTAAAGGACTAAAGACTATAAAGGCGGAATAAATGAACAATGAAAGTTTCAATGAAAGAACAGAGAATATCAAGACAGATGCAAGCATAAATTTAACACCAGAAGCTACACATTTTCACAGGGTCATAGAATGCGGCCCATGTGACCCTCTGGCTGCCTTGCTGTGAGTGAGCTGGCTGCCTCTGCACTGCATTGCAGTGTAAGGTACCTACCTACATATGGTACCCACGGGCATATATATGCGTTATTTTGGGCTGCTTGCTATATTAGATAGGTTTCAATACCGCCATTGTGGGGCTGTCAAACGAAACCTGGTAAAAAAGGGACACGGCCCTGGCGCCGTCAATATCAATGAGCTTTCTGTCCATCAAGCCCCCTAACAGCTAGTGGTCCTCACTGTCCTTTGTTTGGTTAAAGGGAATGTTCCACTTTTGAAGACATTGAGGTAGGTATCGCATATTATAGGAAAAGCTTACTTGGAACTATTTGTAAGCTTCCAAGGTTTAAAAACGACGCTAAGTAGCAGAGTTTCAAAGTTTGTAAAAATGCACCCCATTACGTCATTGTTTCATGGCATCATAGAATGGCTCTGTGACGACAGCAATACCGAACAGCATTTGGCAGCCAGACCTAAAGAATATCTCGAAACACCCGAAAGCTGACGCCAATCGGCCATTCTCGTCGTGGGGGCCGTGTCGAGTGGCGGATTAGTGGGTGGTTTGTTTGTGGATTTTTGGCCTTGGTGCTGGCCGTAAGAAAAGCTTTGGTGGGCCGCTGGGCATACGCAACGTGGCGATTGCCAGCTTTTATGGCAGATTATTATTACCAAAGCACGATATGCTTTGCTGCTGCTGTTGCTGCTGTGCTGTTGATTTTGTCAATACTTTATTGTCGACCCATCGTTACTTTCAGTACTGTAGTCCTGTCATTAATATCATGTGATGTCCACGGTAGTTACATTCTTTATGTTTTTTTTTTTACCTGGAAATGCGGTGCCATGCGAGAATTAATAAATTTTTAACGTTGCTATGAACTGATTGCCAAAACATTGCTATTGCGATAGTAAATATGGTAAGGTTGGACTACCAATAATTTTGTTTTGCGTAGGATTATATATGCAATTATTAATAAATCCTGGTTTAGCCATTGTGGTTCAATGACATTCTTGCTGTTGACAGCCCTTTGGCATTGTAAAATCAGTTGCTACCAGTCATAAATTATAAGCTGCTGTCTCATAGGCTTGACAGAGTATTCATCCCATGTGGTACATTGTGTAATGGGACGGGTCAACATTTGTGGCACTACCTCAGTGCTGTACTGTCGCACGACATAATGAACAATGGTATGATTTTTGTACTGCAACCCACGCTGCTTTCATAATAAATTCCAACATGAAAAGATGGCTCAAGCGTCCGCTCTGGTATTGACTCCCCATCTGACATAAGATTGACCAAAAACACACTATGTAATGTATAAATCACTTTCAGCAGAGCAGACAACCAATAAGTGTCATCGCTTGCTCAGACTGCTTCGAGAATCAAGAAAAACGCAGGTGAGAAAGATGCAGATACTTTTTCCACTTCCACAGTCATGCGACACGCTGCAGCCATCAGGCTGCTTTAGTAACAGACAACAGGAAAATTTTACGTATGGTGAACTGAAACTGCAAACATACTGACCTTGTAGGAGGCTGGAAACATGACAAGTGCATGTAGTCATGGTTTGATGGGCAAAATGCAAGGCAGTGATGAAGCTGCCAGTGCGCACAGGGTTCATGATGAAAATATTATAAAGTGTTATCTAAGACATGAACAGCAATAGTTTTCCATCTTTCTCAGCACTCAGCATTCCACGCAAGTTGTAGTGACTATGACATTGATTACTCGCGAGCAATGCTCGCCTGCATACAAACTTTGTAAAGACAGAACGATGTGCATCAGTAGTAATACAGCTCTTTAATTTCAGAATTCTTCAGGGAAAAACAATTTTGTAAAGCCATATAATGTGAGCCTGTACTGAGCACTTGCATTAATGAACTGTGCGCACCAGCCCCTGCTGCCGAAGTGAATTGCTGATATAATGACGCACAGTGGATTCATGACATGCTGTAATACCTCAATGGGTTCAAAATGTTGGCAAGATCATAATGAAGTACAGCTTGCCTTTGAACACCCTTGCAACATCAGTGCTAGTGCTTTCATATTTTGTCAGCATTCCTTTGTCATGTTCAAGCACAAACATAAATGTAGAGGCAGGTATCAATATATCACATTTTATTGGAAATCAGTAGACTTAAAGAATACTACAACAATGTTCTCCCTCAGAAGTACAAACCTCGCACGCACACTCCCCATCACATCAAGATCAATACAAGCCCCACCAGTGACGCAAACATTTCAAGCCCCCGATTCACACCCTTGTTAAATCAGTGTGATCTCACAGTTGCACAGCTCGCGGAACTTTCAAACTGCAAGTTTTCCCGCAATTTCCGCGCAGATTTTCAGTCATAACACCGCGTTTCACCGTGACCTCCCCTCAAATCAGTCCCAACTGGGCTCATAGTAATGCGGTTCGAGAGGCTTCTTCAAGAGGAAAAAAAAGCAGGGCAAAAAGACAAATTTGCCATCGCGTTTTCTTTTTTTATAACTTTCGGGACTGTGCCCGTTTTTTGGGTGCCGTACTTTTTTGCAGACAGTGGCGTTCTTTTCTATAACACTGACCTATGGTTTAGAAATAAGGAAAAATGACTCGTTCACGACGAGGGCCGCACAACGCGGAAGTGCTCACGCTTACGTTCGCGACACGCATTCGGCAGCGAAATCTTGCTAACAGACAATCATCCTCCGCGCATCGTGTCATACGTGCCACATCATCGTTTTTGCGAATGTACCAGCGGCCATGCTGTTTTAACCATAAGAAGAAAACAGCCTGTAGTATGACCGCATGACGTTTCTATGACATCATTAATGTCGAGACAACTTTGAAATAGGCTCCAAATAAACCTGTTCGCACTCTTGTGGGCGCGTAACTCAGGAACCAGATCTTTTTTAGTCTTAAAATGGTACTCAAAAAGCAAAAGGTACTCAAAGGGTACTCAAGACGGCTACATCAGTTTAAAACATCATACAAATATAAAACATCCCCTTTTTTGTTGCTGTTTTAAAAGATACCATGTCGTAGGAATTTTGCAACAAATCTCTGTTTGGAACGATAATTGATTGTTTCAGAAGGCTGTGACTGTTATTCGTCCTCGGGTTTCTGCACCCGTAGTGGCAGGTTGTGGATGTGGCACTTAATACGAACCCTGCCAAAGGTTCTCCAAACACGCACATTCTTTAGGAATGGCTTTGAGGGTTCTACTGATGTCTCACTGAGCATCTCTACCGCTCCGCTTTGCTGGAAACGTAGCTCCGTCTAAAAGGTTTAGACGCAGTTGGCTAATGCACTGACATCGCAGATGGAAGGTATGTGGTTCAACCCCAGCTCCGGCAGGGCCTCTTAGTCAGGTGGCAGCAACTGGGGAGTGATGTCCTGCCGCGGGATGAATGCTGTGCCAGCCAGCGTCCGGGCCGGGGAAGGGGGGGGGGGGGGGATCCCGGGCATGGTCGACCTGCAAATAGAACCTACGGCGCAGGGGCCATGCGTGTGGCCACGGCTTCGCTCCATGTCACCGGAGCAGTCGTGGGAGTCACCGTGCCGCACAGATCGTGTGAGCCGTCGTGTGTTCACAAGTGCCACCTGGGAGGCCGTGGAGCAAGCCTTTGGTCAAGGCTGTTCCGCAAGGGTGCCGAGAAACTGAAACCTCCACCGCATTCACAGTGTACTTGTTAGCAACAGTGCAGCTGTGGGAAGCTAACATCAAAGCAAAACATGAACGGAATGCTCACATCGTTGCTGTAGTCATCACTCCTTAAAATCATTGCGCAAAATCCGACGCTCTAATAGCTCTTTCTTCGATATCGTGCGTCGGAAACTGCTTAAAAAATGACTGGTATACTTTTGTACACCACTTCGAATCAACATAATAGCATAATAGGAGAAAAGAAAACAAGTGTGTAATTGTGAAGGCTCTATTTATATGAACCATGATTTCAGACATGACGTTGACGTTCAGCGACGACAAAGCTTGTGCTTAAAGGTTTAGACGACATAGACGACAAGCTTACATTTGATACCCTGCCCGTCCAAATCTGTTCGACAGATTCCGAGATGTCAGGTGGGTGGGTGGGGAGAGGTCGAAAACAATCGGACCTTACGAGGATTCCAAGTCAAGTTGGTCGTAGGGAAGCACGGATAATGTCGGGATAACAGCTAGATACAAACAGGGCTCGATCTGTGATACATGGACCGCGTTGTAAAAACGCTCCGCGCCCTCGCTCGTCGCCTCAGGTGTGAGCAGCCTGGCGAAAATGACAATTTGTCTTCGGTAATTTTGCTGGCGCAACGCACGCACGGTGGTTTCTTCTACTACTCTACCAGCGCGTGACACAGCTGCGCTGTCCTGCAGCTATCACGGCCAGTGATGGATGGCGCCTTTGGTGTGTTGGCCTTGCTTGTACGATATCCGGACTATCCGGGCTATATACGATATCCGAGATGATGCGCGGGAATCTCCACTCAAGAATCACGGCGTGTTATTTGCCAACGCATCCGTACCGAGCTCATTCATTTACCAAGACCGGAAATTACCAAACGCCCTGGCAGAGTGGGTCAGACAGCGAGCGTTAGGTGTATTCCAGCGCGGCAGCTCCGCGTGACAGGCGTATATTGCTGCCTTCACGGCCGCCGCCATCTTGTCTGCTCATCCCACAGTCAGCTGATGGGTGATGCGGTTCTCTGATCGAAACAGGCACCGGGCGCCGTGTTGTCATCGCTGAATGGAGTAAGATATCGTCGCTCGCCGGGTTTATTCCATTCCGCGACACCACAAAAATATTGCAGACCATCTCAGTCTACTCCTAACCAGCTGCGGATGTTTTGTGCTGCATAAAATGCCCAAGGGAGGCAGCTGGGTGCGAGCGAAGGACGATTTCAGCCTGGCCGTACTATCGTATCACAGCATGCCAACGAGACACCAGTGCGTAAAACCGATACCAGCAGGCGACACTCAGCACCAGACCTGGTTGAAGCCGGTAGAAGACAGCGCTAGAGCAAGTAATTGAGAATGTCTTCCTTCGGCGCTGCTGGCACGGCCTCAGTGCCCCCGGCATTGGCTGGGACCTCGGACGTCTCGGTGAGGATCGGCTCGGTCTCTGCCTGTTCGCCGCCCTCCTGTTCGGTCAGCACGGCTGCGGGGGCATCTGTCGACTGCGCAGCGGCCTCAGACGTCGCCTCGGCGGTCTCCTGGACGCCTTCGGGCGCCGCGGTGGTCGCCTCCCCCTCGGCGGTGACCTCAACGACCTCGGCGTAGGCCTCCGGCAGCGCCGCTGCCTCCCCCGGAGCGGCAGTAGTCACCTCCCCCGCATCAGCAGCCGTAGTGACCTCGGCCTCAGCCGCAGTAGTGACTTCTGCCGCCGCCGTCGTAGTGACCTCCCTAGCGGCAGCCGCTGTGGTGACTTCTTCAGCCACAGCCGCCGTAGTGACCTCAGTCTCAGCTGCCGTGGTGACCTCAGTCTGAGCTGCCGTGGTGACCTCAGCCTCAGTTGCCGTGGTGACCTCAGCCTCAGCTGCCGTGGTGACCTCAGCCTCAGCTGCCGTGGTGACCTCCACTTCAGCCGCCGCGGTGGCGTCCTCAGCAGCCGACACCGTGGTGATCTCCGCGGTCTCAGTGGTCACCTCCTCTGGTGAAGCCTTCGCTTCCTCCTCGGCGGGCAAGGCCTCCTCATAGGCAGATACCGCCTTGTCCGCCTCCGCTGCAGGCGTCTCCTCTTCGGCGCTGGCCCCCTCGGCGGCACTCGGCTCTGGCGCTAGAGCTGGCTCCTCCTTAGGCAAAACCTCATCCTCGACAGAGCCTGGCACGGTGTCAACGAGCGGTGCCTCACCGCTCGCTTCCACATCCTGCTCTTCGGCGTTGTCAAGCGGTTGTTGGTGTGCATCAGAAGAGAGCACATGTTCTGCCTCCTGCTCCAGCGCACCGGCACCCGCGACCTCTGGAACATCGTGAGAAGAGGTATGAGTGTGCGCGGGGACGCACCTGCACGAGCCCTTGTTGTCAGTGCTGTCTTTTACGTTGTTGTTATCCTTTGTCTTCTGTGCTGCCGTTGTGAGATTATATTCAAGACAGCTGCATTTAAAGATTTTGAAGAGCACTGAAGCATTTTGTACTAAGCAAAACACTGCTGCAATGTTAAACAGCTTTTACAGCATGGCCTACATATGCGATCGCGGGTGGGAAATGCGGCATGGCGGCTGAGGATATGCGATCGCGGGTGTGAAATGCGGCATGGCAGCTGAGGATATGCGATCGCGGGTGGGAAATGCGGCATGGCGGCTGAGGCAACGGCTGCACCTTGCTGCATGAAAATGAACGCAATTCAAGCGTTACCATTCACAGATGGCTGTCGTGCCGGCTTTACTGCACCAACATTTCTCAACACACTATTCGCGCATGCAACGGTATGGCAACAGCACGGGCAGCCTTATGGTGCGCAGTGAAGAGCGCCCCGGCCGTCGCGTGACCGTCGCGGGCCCGCGTGTGTTGCGACCCTGTGTCGCCCCCAGACGAGACCCTTCGTGGGCAGTTATGACGTCATCGGCACCACCGACTCGCAGCCCGACTCACATGCCCTCGGGGCTTCACTGCCGGCTGTGCAGGGCAACCTGAGGCCGGTACGCTCACAGGTCGGCGCTGCCGCATGGATTGAGGAAAGCACCTCTCTTCGGCCATAGCTGGCGCGGACTGAGTAGCGCGCTGCGGTCGGTAACGGTTTTGCGCCATCCGAACGTAGCGGACTGTGGTCGGTAACGGTCATGCGCTATCCGAACTTGGCGGACTGTGGTCGGTAACGGTCATGCGCTATCCGAACTTGGCGGACTGTGGTCGGTAACGGCCATGCGTCGCCCGAACGTGGCGCACTGTGGTCGGCAACGGTCATGCGTCGCCCGAACGCGGCGCACTGTGGTCGGTAACGGCCATGCGCCATCCGAACGTAGCGAACTGTGGTCGGTAACGGCCATGCGTCGTCCGAACTTGGCGGGCTGTGGTCGGTAACGGCCATGCGTCGTCCGAACGTGGCGCACTGTGGTCGGTAACGGCCATGCGCCATCCGAACGTAGCGGACTGTGGTCGGTAACGGCCATGCGTCGTCCGAACGTGGCGCACCGTGGTCGGCAACGGTCATGCGTCGTCCGAACTTGGCGGACTGTGGTCGGTAACGGCCATGCGTCGTCCGAACGTGGCGCACTGTGGTCGGTAACGGTCATGCGCCATCCGAACGTAGCGGACTGTGGTCGGTAACGGCCATGCGTCGTCCGAACTTGGCGGACTGTGGTCGGTAACGGCCATGCGTCGTCCGAACGTGGCGCACTGTGGTCGGTAACGGTCATGCGTCGTCCGAACTTGGCGGACTGTGGTCGGTAACGGCCATGCGTCGTCCGAACGTGGCGCACTGTGGTCGGTAACGGCCATGCGTCGTCCGAACGTGGCGCACTGTGGTCGGTAACGGTCATGCGGCATCCGAACGGAGCAGACTGTGGTCGGTAACGGTCATGCGGCATCCGAACGGATACCGTCACCCATGATGATGCTGATGCCGTTGCTCAAATTCTTAGCTTATGCCTAGGGTTCTTACGTCTCGCTGGCGTGACAAGCACATTTCTATCCGGCTCGAGGAGCTAAATAATGACAGCTAATGTTAGATGCAATTCTGCTGCGCTATGCAGTTCAATAAGACCTGGAATGTCACATATGTGGCGTTAGCAGGAAGATTTGCGAGTGGAAAAATCCCCAAGGAATTAAATTGCACAAACAATCAGCAGAATGCTCTGACTGGGCTTGAAGGTACTTCGGTATCGTTATGATTCATTACATTCCAACACCAGCTGATGCCCCTCAATGCACTCAACTACATTAAATGCTTTGTAATTTTCACTTCATTTTGACAATTCATACACATCGAAATGTAATGCTCCTGGCGACCGATACGGGCGTATCCACTGACTGTAAGGCGATGTGCGGTCGTAATTTGGGCTCTAGCACAGCGATGACAGCGATGCCCGCTGCCGTGGTGGACGGTGGCCAGGGGAAGATCTTGCGGTGTCGGAAAAACACGCCACTCCCCACCTGAGCTTACTGGCATAGGCTTTGCATGCCTTCGAAACAACTTCGGCTGCAAAAGAATTCGCATACTTGCTCACGGAGCATTGTGAGTGCATACCATCATGACATAATTGCGAAAGCACTTACTCACCCGACTACCCCACTTACGACAATTTTGCCAGCGCTCCTGACGGCGCATGTTCCTACCTTGGCTCTGCGGGTCAATGGCTCTGCTGCCGTACGCCCTGAAGACCGAGAGACCCGGCCGCACCACCTCGATGTCGTCCACCGGGTAGCAGCTGACCGCTGCCGTCGTCACCACAACCTGTAAACACAGGCAAGCACGTCATGCGCCTAACGTCTAATTCACCGCATCAGACGATGAAGCGCCGCAGTGGCTCACGTCAAGTGTAGGAGACTGCAAATACTTTGCTAGCAGCTAGGTTCGAATCCCTTGACCTTCAGCATGCCTACGTGAGCGAACCCTGCATGACACGGAATGTTGCACGCTTGAAGATATTGAGTTAGGCATCAGATATGATGGGATGTGCGTCCTCGTAACTATTGGTAAACTTTCAAAGTTCAAAAGCGACGCTAAGTAGTAAAATTTCAAAGTTTATAGAAATGGGCCCCATTATGTCATTGTTTGATGGCACCGTAAAGTGGGTTTGTGACGACAGCAAAACCTGACAGCATCTGGCAGCCAGACCTAAAGAATACCTCGAAACACACGAAAGCTGACGCCAACCGGCAATTCTCGTTGCGGGCGCTATGTCGGGGGGCGGACTGGTAGGTGGGTTATTTGTTGCTTTTTTGTCCTGGTGATGGCCGTAAGAAAAGCTTTCGTAGACTGTTTGATACGCGCAACTTAGCGATCGCCAGCCTTTATGGCAGATTATTAATATCAAAGCACGATATGATGTGCTGCTGCTGTTGCTGCTTTGCTGTTGATGCTTTTGTCAATACTTTATCATCGACCCATCGTTGCGCGCGGTGCTGTTGTCCTGACATTGATATCATGTGATGTGTACAGCAGTCACCGTCCTTATTGTTTGTAACTGGAAATGCGGTGTCGTGGCAAAATTAAAAAATTTGTAACATTATCTTTATTGCTTGTAAGCGGAAATGTAGTGTCATGCGAAAATTAATAAACTTGTAACGCTGCCATGCATTGATTGCCAAAGCATTGCTATTGCTATGGTATAGATGGCAAGGTTGGGTTACCAATAATTTTTTAGTATTATTAGGATTGTTCATTTAATTTATTGTCAACCCTTATATAGCCAATGTGGTGCAGCAACATTCTTGTCGCAGACAGTCTTTTTCAGTTATCATTTCGTTTTAGTTCCTTATCCTTGTCTCAGTTCAAAACGTCATGCAAATGTGGAACATTCCCTTTAACTGCGCCATGCAACTGCAGGCCGGAGCCGAGGCAAGTGAGGCGAAGCTTGCGAGATCCACCGCTGGGCTGCCGGCTAGTTCTGGGGCGGTGAGCGGGTGCGGATGCCCGAGTGGAAGCGGAAGTGGCCGGCTCCGGCTGCCAGGCTCAACGCAGGAGAGCTAATCACCTGGCTCACCTTCAAGCCCCGAGTCGTGCAGGATGGGAGGTGTGCGCAGCGCACCCGAATCACCTCATTATTACTAAACGGCCCGAATCAAATGAGGCCTCCTTCCGCTATCCGCTTCACATA